AAGGAGCGGGCTGCGACTCTCAGCTTCTGGCTTGAGCAGTCGGCTGGGGAACTCCAGAAGAAACACTCTAAGTGGAGGTCAGTGTTGGTCATGGTGCCACAGAGATGACCTCCAGAACCCCCAAGTGCAAACTCTGAGTCAGGAACAGCAATCGGAACCTGGAAGTCAATACCAAGGGGTGGGAGTAAAGTGCTGGAAGTAGGTGAGGTCACCCAGGAAGGGGTGGGGTGAGAGGAGCCACTTAAGTGGAGGAACCAGAAGTCAAGGCAAAGGGGGGTAAAGAACAGATAGCAAGTACCCTTACTCTCAGTGGTGCCTGCTGACTTCTTGGGTGTGGGGTGATGGATGGGGCAAGGAGCAGGCCGCAGAAGGAGCCACGGAGAAAGGGACATCTCTCTTTGATCTCAGTTAGTATGACATGTGGACGGTGTTAAGGCCTTCACTTCATTCGTCTGCACCGGAAAGCAGGGAAGGTCTGTTGGCACTTGATAAATGTTACAATCTGCATGACTGCAAATGACTCAAACTTTGTTCAGCTATCTGAAGGGCTGGGGGCCTTGGCAGCTCTCCATTTTGACATTCTGGAGATTGAGTATTAACCGCTGAAGGAGCCCCAGGGTTTCTGGATAGCCTGGTCCTGCCCATGGTGTGAGAGAGTGAGCTTGGGGCCATAGGCGGGACTCCAGAGCCCCGCCTCCAGCCCTCCCCTGCAGCCTGACTCCCGCCTGCTCCTGCTGAGTCGGCCTCTTTGTTAGCAGGAGCGGAGTGTGGTCGCTGTGAATGGTGAGTGCCCTGCTCCCAGGTTTGAACTACGGAGGTTGGGGATCAGGGACTGGGGCGGGAAGTGGCTTGTGGCATTCTGGGCTGCAGGGAAGAAGCCCTCTGGAAACTGAACTGGAGTGGGGGAGAGTTCTGATGGGGACCCAAGAATGTGCAGACTCCAAAGTGAGCTGGTTTTGATAGACCCCCATGATGGCACTGGGGTGCTTTAAGGAGCCTTCACATTCATCTAGTCCAGTCCCATCATTTTGGAGTAGAGGAAAATGAGGCTGGAAGAGGGGATGACCCCAGCTTCGCCTAGGGAGCCCAGCTGGGTCTTGTCCCCCTCACCAGCATGCTCTCCCCTCACCAGAGCTGCCACTCTGAGCGGCCACAGCTGTTGTTCGGCTGTGCTCTTAGCATGCTTCACCTTCTTCTGTGGGAGAGGATGAGACCAGGTAAGTCCCACGGTGGGAAACGAGGGCTGTATCCGCATCAGGTGGGGGTGGGCTTCTGTAAACGACCTTGCTGTTACCTCTCGGAGAAACTGACCTTTTCCTTAACAGATGAGGCTAGGAAGGGGAGGACAGAGAAGGGACATCTGTCATATGGTAAATTTCCTTTAATGGTTTGGCTGTATTTGGTGACCGAAAAAACAAGTCAGTCTTCTTTTTTTAATGCTCTTTAAGACAAAGGGGCATCATGCCCCGTGACCCGCAGAAACCCACAAATGAATGTGTGGGGAGGCAAGGTATGACAGTAGAAGACTGCAGTTTTAGAGTCCCTAGTGACCTGGGTCCCTGTTACTGTACTGCTGCCTGTGGGCTCTGTGACCCTGGAGAAGTCCTGAACTTCTCCGAAGTCAGTGCTGTCCGCTGTAAAACAGGGTAATATCTGCATCAAGGACTGTTGGGTGAGTGAAACTAGGCCCTGAGCATCAAGTGACACTAAATAAATCCCTCTCTCTCCCAATAGCCTTAGAGGCCCCTGTGAAAATGCTTTGTTCTGTTGAGAGAGGAGGGTCTCCCTCCCCTCCCCGCTTTTTGTCCTGGGAATAGCTGTGGTCCAGGAGCCCGAGTCAGTCTCACTCTGCAGCACGTTGCAGTGGTACATGCTCCAAGATGGGCCAGGATGGGAACTGCTTCGTAGCTCAAGGAGGCTTGGCTGAGGGGCTGGACCTGCACATTCTCTAGGTGTTTCCAGGGGTGAATTTTCACCGCTAACCCCAGCAGAAGAGCCAGCTGCTAGAGGTCCCCTGGCGTATGTTCACGGAGAGCCCTGACTCACCCCTGGAGCTAATACTGCTCTCACATCTTAGTGCTGCTGGGGCTGAGAGTGAGGTTCACGCTCCTCAAAGGGGTGATTCTTTGCTCACACTTTCTGGGTCACAGCTCGAGGTGGGAGTGGGGTGGTAAACAATACCCACATCTTGTATTCTGGCTCTTGAACATGAGGGAGAGGGGTTGGGGGCCCTTGGGACATAGAAGTTTGCATTCTCCAAGTGCCTTGAGCACTGATATCCACCCACCCCCAACCCTCCCCAGCCAGCCTGGCCTTTCCCAGGCATATTTAGCCCAGGCAGGGCCTAGCCCTTCCATTCTGCCCCCCTGAGTCCCATGCCAGCCCCAAAGCCACTTCCTTCTGGGTGTTTCTGTGGCTTCCCAGATCAGATGGAGCTGGCTCTCATCCCCATAGCTTCATGTCCATACCTGGCCCAAGCTGCCTCCCCTTTCCACTTGAATTTCTGTTATCTGTGTGCTAGGCCTGTGTGTCCTTGAGGATTGTGTTTCATTTAGTTGTCTGTCCTCCCAAATTGCCATTTATTGAACAGGCCAGTGCTGAATAAATGATTGGAAATAAATGTGGAGTCTAGTTGAGTCCTGTTCCTTGCAGTCATGAGCAAATAGGCTAACTGGTTGTTGGTGGGAATATGGAGCCTGTTGGTCTCTAAAGCAGCAGTGCTGTGTTAGGAGAATGTGGAGCTGAGTGTAAGGCTCTCTAGGCTTCCTGCAATGCATTCAAGTGTTTTGGGAGTTGAAGCGAGTCCTTTTGTAGGGTAGACGTAAGCTGGTCTTTGTGTGCTGCCGCAGAAATGTTATCAGATCTGTGATCAGAGACCACATCATCTGCTCCGGAATCATACACACATGTCAGAAATCCAGGGGTGTTTGGGGCGTGTGTAGAGGTGCAGAAATTGTTCCAGGCTCTGGGGAATCTCCTGTTTATAGCACACAGGTGAGAGCTGTGGTTGTTCTGTGAATACCCCTAATTATTCTGTGAGTTATAATTGAGTAATGTGTAACTTTGCCTCGTAAAAGAACTGGAAGCCAGCCCATGGACTGGAAGGTTCTTTCCTGCTTGGCCCAAGAACTTGGGTTCTCCATGAGTCATCATCCTCATCGTTCAGTTCTATTGAATTCACTTGTGTGCGCAATTTTGGAGAGCTTACTGTGTACCAAGCAGGCACTGTGCTGGGCATGGCAGTTCAGAGACGAACTGAGGGACAGAGTCAAAGGTAGATATGTCCACATCTTGTGTGGACCACACAGGAAGTGTACTGGGTACGAGGTGTCTCTTGGGAGTGGTAGCGAGGGTAGGCAGAGCATCCAGGAAGCCTTCTTGACGAGCTGTCAGAGTCCTGAAGAACAGAACCGATGGGGTAGGACATCCCAGGAAGAAACATGGAGATGGGCTCACCAAGAGTCCCGCTGTCCCCCATAGTGAGCTGAGAAGGGAAGCTGGAGGGCGCAGCTCTCCCAGGCCAGCCTGCCCTCATCACTGGACCTTATTCTGCGGCTTATGGCTAACCAAGCGCAAAATCCTGGATTCTTTGCTCTGAGACAATGCTTCTCCAACTTCCGTGTGCAGGTGAACTGCCTGCCTGGTCTGATTAAAATGCAGCTGATGATTCCTTAGTCCTGAGATAAGGCATGAGCTCTTCCCTTCAATGTGATGCCTGTGCTGCCAGGTCAGGAGGCCGCAGTGAGAAGTGCTGTTCATTGTAAGAAACTCCTCTCTCCAGCTCCAGTCCCCTCCCTCAGAGGTGCCCTAGCTGCACTCCTCCCCCACCCCCACCTTCCCTTCCTTTTCCCCTTCCCTGGTATGCAGATGCCAAATTCCTCTTTCTGCAGTGTTCTTTTCATCTGGTCATTCCTCCTCCCCACCCCCCCTGCCTGGAAGACCCCTTTTATTTCTTAACTCAAATCCGAACTTTTCCTGCTGGCCTAACACAAGGTTGGCCTACCCTCTCTTCCCAAAGTCCTCACCACCAGATTACTCCCAACCCCACCTTATGGCAGTGGGTCCCTCGAAGCCCATCCTGTGGCAGTGGCATGTGGATTTCTGGGCCTTTGCTTAATCCTGTGGAGAAATCCTCCCCAGCCAAGTGCTGGAGGGGAGACAGAAGTCTTTGGTTGGGGACACACACACACACTGGGTCTGTTCCCCGGGGACCTCTACCCAGAGTCATGCTGGTACTTAGGGAGGAAGTCCCCAGTATAAGACCCTAGGATGGCTGGAGGGCCATGGCTGGAACGGAAGTATTTTAAGTAGTTGTCTGGAGCAGGCAGGCTGGATGGGGTACCTGCTGTGGTCCGAGGGACCCAACTAGAGGAAGCCTTAGGGAGGCCCTCAGGAGTGAGCTGGAACAAGGCTGGATTTTGTAGGACCTGCCTGGGACTCCACTGCAACTGCAGAGCCCCTTGGCCCATGCAGACGTCTTTCGCAGCCCCTCTGAGGCAGACAGACACCCAGCACCGTGCTCTTTGTTTACATAATGCCTGCTCTCTGGGCCCACTCCCCTTCACTCGGCAGACGTCTGTGTAGTGCTAGGCACACAGGGCAGAATGTCAGATTAGACACAGGTGTTTACTAGTGGCCATCTCTGTTCAACTATGTCGTTCAATAGCTGCTAGATTTTCAGGGGATATTTACTTTTCTCATCGACTCTGGATTTATGTATTGCTTCTTTTTTGATTTTTGTTTTATTTTCACTCTGAGCCTGTTTTATTTGTATAATGAATGAAACATAGAGCTAGTCTCAGTTGAGAGAAGGTACTGAGATTGCCTGCCTACCAGGAGTGAGGCCCTGCCGGGCACTGCCTGGGGGCTGGATGAATGGTAGGGTCTCTGTTTCTGAGGGATTCACAAACTGAAGAGGAAGAAGGATAAGATAACAAAACAGTGTAATTGGTGTTCTGAGTATTTCTTGATCAAAGAAGAAAAGGCTGCCCCTCCCCCAGGTAGGTGATAGTGGAGACTCCCAGACTATGAAGGAAAAGCAGCCACTGAAAGGGAGGAGAAAGGAGAAGGAGGCTGCCTCCAGGGGGCCCAGCATGGACCCACCACAGAGCTGGGAGGCCACGGCCCAATGGGAGAAGAACGGTAAGAGAGGCATCTCAGAGCGCTGTCATTTCTCTGTTCTCAGCCTGACCCACGAGTGAGCTCCCTGGGGCAGGAACCTCCACATGTCTGTTATTTCCCCAAGCTCTTGTGGCAGCAGGTGCTCAGCGGCCCTCATCTGGTCCCGGTCCTGTCATCTGCTCCCGTCTCTGACGCCGCTGCTCCCTTCCCGTGCCTCTGGCCTCCTGGTTGGCTGCCCAGCCAGAGGCTTGCATGGAGACCAGATTCCAGCTCTCTCAAAGTGGGAGCAATAACATCTTCTTCCTTCCTCTCAATCTCCAGAAATGTCTTTCCTCCAGGATCTGAGTTTCTTCAGCATGGGGATGTGGTCCATTGGCATGGGGGCCCTGGGGGCGGCGGCCTTGGCCCTGCTCCTGGCCAACACAGACGTGTTTCTGTCCAAGTCCCAGAAAGCGACGCTGGAATATCTGGAGGACATAGACCTGAAAACCCTGGAAAAGGGTAAGCAGTGACCCCACCGGCCTCAGTACTTTTCCAAGGTGCTGGGATGCACTTACTCATTTTTTTTTCCTTATAAAAAGTCTCTCTCTCTCTCTTTTTTAATTGAAAAGGCACTATAACAACATTAGGAAAAATGTAATAACATTTTTTAAATTACTGATAAACCCATTACCCTGACACAGCACTCATTTTTATTTTTGCACATTCCTTTCCACGTGTACATAGTATGCAGTTGGGATCTTACGGGATACCATGTTTTACATTTTAGCTCTTTCTTATCAAAAGCATTTTTCACTTTCTGCTGTTGTCCCCTGGATCTTCGCAAAAAAGGAGCTCCTGGGTCAAATGCATTTGAGAAACACTGTGTATCCAATTCCGTGTTCCTGATGCACAGCACAGGCGCCTGCTTATTGAAATGCCATGTCTGGACGGTTACTGGTACAGCCATGGGCGGCCCTCACCTGTGGTGCCGCACACACAGGGCGGGGGGTGGGGAGCACAAGGTTGCACTTGTAGAGTGGACCTACCTGTCTCCCTCTTGGGGAGCCCACCTGGAGTCCCTGGGGGACAGCTGAGAGCCACAGATTTGCACGTGGTTCCTTGGCTGCCTCACTGTGCGCTCTTGGCATGGGCAGCTCAGTGATGCCAGTGGTGTGACTGCGTTTGGTGAAACTTGGGGCTCACTGACCGGGTGGTCCCCAGGTTGGCCCCTCAAAGGGAGGCCATGATCACCTGTTCGGTAAGTGAGGAAGCTTGTCGAGGACAGGCAGGCACTGTGACTGCAGACTTACGGCATAGGTCACCTTCGTGGAGGACTAAGAAGTCCTGTGGAGAGACCCCTGTTTGGCTGTGTTCAACCCAAGGTTTCCCAATCTCATTCGATTACAGACCCCAGCCCGCTCCTTTTTTTCCACATAACATCCCACAGGGACACGGATTCCTCTGAGAAATGCTATGACAGTTAAGAGTTGCTACTTGCTGAGCCCTCACTAAGTCTGTGTTCGCAGATACTGCGGTGGGCATTTTTCTACCCATCTTTTGATGCCCCTGCGGCCGCAGTGGAGCTGCTGGATGAGCAAACGTGCTCTAGGCCACCCCACTGGATGCAGGCCCTGTCTGACCACGGCCTGGCTTGAACTGCAGAACCTCAATGCCCTGAGGCATTTCCTTGCTGGGCATCTTCTACCCTATCTTGTAAATAATAGTGCAGTTAACATATTTAGGTTAAAACTTTTTTTCTCGTAAGGGGGCACCTAGGGTGGCTCAGTTCAGTTAAGCATTGGACTCTTGATCTCAGCTTAGGTCTTAATTTTAGGGTTGTGAGTTCAAGCCCTGTGTTGGGCTCCATGCTGGGCGTGGAGCCTACTTTAAAAAAAAAAAATCAGTTTGGGACACCTGGCTGGCTTAGTTGGTGGAGCATGTGACTCTTGATCTTGGGATTGTGAGTTCAAGCCCCATGCTGGGTGTAGAGATTACTTAAAAATAAAATCTTAAAAAAATTTTTTTTTGTAGAAATTTCTGTTGACCTATTCCCAATGAATACTTTTTTTTTAAATTAGGGTTTTTGGTTTTTTTTAAATCAAATTGCAAGATCTCTTTCAGGTTTTGGCCATGTATCTGCCCTAAAGGATCATTATAGTGTCCACTGGTACCAGCAAAGGAATTTGCCATTTTTCCAGAAATGTTCCAGTTTGGGATGTTCACGTTTGCCAATAGATTTTGATGGGGGAGGGCCCTTTCAGGTATACAGTGGGGTCCTTCCTCTGAACGGTGATTAGTTCCTGTCTGTGTTTCCTGTTTGCTGTTTCCAAGTCGTTTGCTAGGCTCGTGCCGTTTATGAGCTCCCTCATGGTTGGGGCTAGGCTGGGCTGGGAGGAGAGAATACTGACTTGTCTTTTCTCCCCAGAACCAAGGACTTTCAAAGCAAAGGAGCTCTGGGAAAAGAATGGAGCTGTGATTATGGCTGTGCGCAGGCCAGGCTGTTTCCTCTGCCGAGAGGTGAGTACGTCAAGGCTCTGTTCTGTGGTTACTGGTACAGCCATGGGCGGCCCTCACCT